AAGATAAATGAAAAGTAAGAAAAAGCATTTATTATGCCATATTGAATACTACTTTGGTTATTTACTGCATTGATCAATTCTAGAGTTAGATTCTTAAAGTTAATTTTTACTATAGTTAGAGAGTTCCCTTTTTATGCTTAGAAAACTCTTCTTCCAATGCCATTCACATTAATATTTCCTGTTGCTTGCTTCCTTCCTTCTTTCCTTCCTTCCTTCCTAGTTTAGTATTCTCAAGCGTAGCCACTATGTTACAGTTCTTCCATTCTATTTGTTACAGTTTTCCTATTTCTTTGATTTTTTCAAAATAGTAGCCAGAGTTGTCACTAAGCTTTTTAGTTCCTCTGAGCAATTTTGTTTTGTTTTTAATGCGTTAGAACATTGCCTTCAGCTAGAGTCACAGTTTTGGGCTTCCTTTGCAGGAAGGGGATTTTCTTCTACTTTATTAATAGGGTAATTGATTATGATTTTTAACTGAATAAATTTACAGGACTGGAAAAATACCAGTCACAGATGAAGAGCAGACCAATGTGCCTTATATCTATGCCATTGGCGATGTATTGGAGGATAAGCTGGAGCTCACCCCAGTAGCGATCCAGGCAGGAAGACTGCTGGCTCAGAGGCTTTATGCAGGTTCCACTGTCAAGGTGAGTGTTGAGGCTGTCATCCACTAGATACTGTTAATAATACTCCCAGTTCCCTATTTAGGGGTAGTTGGGAAATTTTTCAGGTCTTAAGTAATTTTGTTATTTTGGTGATGGCATCCTAGATGCATTTTATTAGCTGTATTCCAAATAAGACATTGTTACAGTTGCTGTTCATTTGCGACTTTAGTATAAAAATTGTTATTCTTGGAATTGCACTATGAGTAAGAAGAGCTTGATTAATCACGTTTTTACACTATTATGTTCCATGTACTCTTAATCATTGCATGTTACATCAATTTTATTATCACCAATATAATTTTCTAAATCTTTTTATGGCACCCAACTAGACTATAAAAGGATTTGGGGATTTAGGTAATGGTGTCAATGTGCAGAACAGCTTAAACCACTCTTCAGGCCTTGTTAACCTGTCCTTGCTGAAAAATCTTTCCATCTTAAATTGTTGAATGTGTTAAATGTCATATTGATGTTTTAAGGTGATTTTTTTAAAGTTAGTGTAGGAAATTGAAACTCTTCAATATCTTTCATGGGACTAGATGGCCAGAAAAGAATAAATATAGCTTAACTTCTAAAAAGGATTCTGGAAACATTAATTGTAAAGAATTTTGTCACTACCCATTTTCCTTGAGTATAAATCATTGTGGATTGATTTCAGTTGGTTACAGTAATGGAAACCTGACAGAATGATGCTAGCAAAATTTATTTGTGACTTCAGGTTATTTTGGATTATAGCATAATAAAATCTTATATTTTGAAATTAACACATTGGGGCTAAAAAGATTTTGAATACCAGATTGATTGTCCAGGGAATAGCAGTTGGTTCATACTACTATTTGGAATAAATTCAACAACACTACCTCTTTGAGTTACATCTTGTCTTACCAGATACTAAATAATTAGAACAATGAATATGAGAAAAGCTATTTAGAAATGTAGCTTAAGATTGAGATGCATTTAATTTGTTCTTGAATTTATATCTTTGTGGTTTCCTAAACTAGAGATATTTTTATATACTAGTAATAACCAAAGAGTAAACATGGAAAAGTTTGCACCTAAGTAAATTTGAAATCATTATAGCACAGAATTCCTTAAAAAAAACAAATCATTAGATCTTTTCATCTCCTTTGGACATTCCTTCTGCATCTCAACCATAATCTTAAGAGGACCTCTGTAAATC